GGTCTCTGCGCATGGGTGCAGCCACCACTCTGCCTGTGTCTCACTGCGGAAACCGCGCACCCTCCCAGCATCCTGGTGAACATGGACGACAACATTGTGAAGCACTACTCCAATGAAGACACCTTCCAGCTGCAGATGGAGGAGGCCGGGGGGTCGTACAAGCTCACGCTCACAGAGATCTAGGCCCGGCCCCAGCCCCGGGTTCAGAGCTGGTGTCCTGCACCGGCACTGCTGTCACCTGCCCTGCAGACACAGGTGACGTGCGGGAGGGGACCCCTTCTGCCCTGAGACAGATGCTTTGAACGTATGAGCAAGCTTCGCAGAGGACAGCAAAGCCGAAGTCCTCACCTGGCTCTGGTGGCCTCAGGCTGCTGCTGTGTGGTTGGTCATGGTACAGGGCTGTCGGCCTTGTCTGCACCCACAGGGACTATACGTGGGGGTGCAGGAGGCCCGTGCGGGCTCTGAGTCATGGGCACAGCCCCACCTCTGCCCTTGTTCCCCCCACTTTGTGTTTACTCCATGGGGTGCCAGGCCGGGCCTGGTCTGCAGCCTTCTTGTGAGCTCCGTGGGCCACTGCATAGAGTGGTGGAGTCGCAGCTGCCTTGTGTAGAAGTGCAATACCAAGGTGAAGGTCCGTGTGTAAATGTGTACATAGAGGCTGATACAAATGTCTAATATATTCCCTTGGAGGCTGGAGGCCACGGCAAACACGGGCAGCAGCCCTGGAGCCTCCCACATAAGAGGCCAAGTTCCTGGGACGATGAGGACACGCGGGGGTGACGTGGGCCAGCTGCCAGCGGCTGCTATGTGGATGGGCACGCAACACCAACGCAGTCTTCCTCAGTGCTGGTGGCACCAGGTGTCCTGTCCCTTGGGAACAAACAGTGGGAATGACTGTGAACCTGGAATGGACCTCTTCCTCTTCTTCCTGGTCTAAGAAATGGTTTCCGCCTAAATCTCTGCACTCACACTCAGGAAGCTGAGGCAGGAGGATCATTTTGAGTTCAAGGCCAACCTGGGCTGTGTAGTGAGTTCTGATCAATCCGGACTACAGAGCAGGATTCTGTCTCAAAAAACCAAAACAAGAGAAAGAATTGTTCTTTGAAGTTTGATTATTTGTAAGGTTTACAATTCTAGAAAGTATTTGTGAATTTCTGAGACTCTTACTGTGCCAGGGTAATGTTTTGTACACATGTTTAAATATATAAAAATCCTTCCAGTATAATTGGATAATAGAAACACTAAGAGAAATGAAATCATTGGCGTCTTTAGCTTCAGAGAGCAGCTAGAATAGGTCATTTGTCTCAGCAACATTAATAGTTGCATTTTTAGGTTAAAATATTCTAATGAAGTATGTGAACTAAATCTCCAGCTTTCTAAGGTATCATGGGACACGGGTCATATAACCATGTTTTATATTTTGTTTTATGAAATTGATTTTTGTCTTGTTTTTAATTGTATCATTGATGATATGTTTTAAACCAAAGGGATTAAATTTTATATGTCTATTTCATAGGATGTCATTTCTCTTTATTCAGTTTAACTTTATCAATTTTTGGTCAGTTTGTAAGACAAAATTGAAATCTTAAAATATCAGCAGTGGCCTGGATGTGGCGACACACATCTGTGTTGCAGCACACAGGATGCTGAGGCAGGAGGATTGTCTTATATTCCAGGCCAGCCTCAGCTACATGCTTCAAGGCCAGCGTGCATTACATAGTGAGACTCTGTCTCAAAAAAATGTGTATGTACATTAGCAATGAAACTCGTCTGCTTATATTTGCATTTTCTTATTTCACGTATATTAGATTCACATATATTTCCATCATGTAAGATTTTCCTTATAGGTATCCAGGAGAGCCAAATTGTTAGTAGTAGTAGCATTAGTAGTATTTTTAAGATGGTATTTCTGGGGCTGGTGAGATGGCTCAGTGGTCTAAAGCACCTACTTAGAACAAGCTAAGCAAAGCACAGGGACCGCGGTTCAATCCCCCAGCACCACATGCCAGCCAGCCCCGCCCCCTGGTGGGCTGAGCTGGCCACACACACACACACACACACACACACACACACACACAAATAAATAAATTTTTTTTTAAAAAAGGATGGTATTTCCCTAGGTAGTTAGTCCAGGCTGGCCCTAAACTCATGGTGACTCTCCTGCCTCAGCCTCCCATTGCAGTGTGTGCCACCACACCAAGCAGTTGTTAAGTAGAGCCAGTAAGATAGCTCAGCAGACTAAGTGCCTGCTTAGGCAAGCACAGGGACCAGGGTTTGATCCCTAGTACCACATGCACCCCAGCCCTGTTCCTGGGCCCACTGAGTCAGCCACTGAGACTGGGCATGGTGGCACATGCCTGTAATTCCAGTGCTGGGGACGCTGAAAACAGGAGGATCACTGAGTCCAAGCTGCGTAGGGAGACCCTGTACCAAATACATTAAAAATAATAATAATAGGGGCTGGAGAGATGGCTCAGTGGTCTAAAGCACCTACTTGAAACAAGCTTGGCAAAGCACAGGGACCACGGTTCGATCCCCCAGCACCACATGCCAGCCAGCCCGCCCCCTGGTGGGCTGAGCTGGCCACACACACACACACAATAAATAAAAATAAATAAATAATTTAAAAAAAATAATAATAATAATAATAATAATAATAATAGGTAAAGCAGCTCTACAGACCCTTTCACTACTTATCCAAATGTAGCTGGGGACAGGGCCAGGCCTGTCAGCCTACATGCTTCTCTCTTCCTGGGGAGACCCTGTCCAGCCAGCCCTGCACCCTGACTCTGCACCTCAGCCCAGTTTGCACCCTTGACTGCCCAGCCTGCTGCAGGTCCCAGGTCCCTGCAGCTGTTTCTGCAGCCAGTAGCCAGGCAGGGCTGGTCTAGGTGTCTGGCCCAGCTGGCAGGCAGCCACCAACCCCATGACGGCAGATAGTGACCTTTCCCCCACTTCCGCTCAGGGGCTTGGACTCTATCCTCCAAGATCCACAGGAATCATGTGGGCTGGCACCAGGGACCCCACCAGTTCCTGCAGTGGCCACAGGACAGCAGGGGTGGGCTGAGGCAGAGGCCACCCTTGGAGATCCCAGAAGCTACCCGACGCCTGTCCCCATACTGCCACCTTGCCAAGCTGCTGCCCCTTGCTCTGGAGACTTAGATCAAGGCCTTTCCACACGTCATCACCCCTCTGGGTGAATGAGGCAGCTCTGAAAACCCACAGGAAGCCAGGCATGGTGGTGCACGCCTGTAAGGCCAGCACTCAGGAGGCTGAGGTGGGGGCACCTAGGCAAGCTGGAGGCTACGGGAAAGCTGGAGAGGTGCCCGGGGCATAACCCCTTCTACCCCAAGCTCCTGGGGCACTGCTTAGAGCCTAGGCTGTGTCCTAACCCCACGAACCCAGCCCGTCACTTGTCCAGACTGTGGCTGTTCACGAAAAGCAGAGGACCCAGCACCTTAGTGTCCACAGCCAGGGTCCCCTACTGCCAGGAAGTGAGGATGACATAGTTTTCCTGGAGACAGTGACCTCAGGTTGGCAGTGTCTGGGCTGGACGCTGGCTGGAGACAGTTGAGGTGGGTGTCGCCTCTCCCCTGCATGCCCCTCACTTTCCAGGCCCTCTCAAATCAGCAGCGCAAAGGCAGCTGGGCCCCAGACAGGCGGCAGGGAAGAGCCTCTGGTATCCAGGGAACCAGCAGCGGGAACATGCCTTATCCCCATGCCTGGGACTGTGCTAGAGATAAGGCTGTGGACACAGCGGTCACACAGCAGCGGGAGCTGAGGGAGCGACGAGAGGTTGGGGCCACCTGGCTGGGAGACTGTGAATACAGGGGCTCAGTCTGCAGACTGCATGTGTGTGGGGGGCGGGGTTCAGGGTTCTAGGAACCAGGGATGAAAATGTACAAAGTCCAGAATAGGTCTTTTGAGACAGGGTCTCGCTGTCATTCAGGCCAGCCTTGAGCTCAATATATAGCTCATACTGGCCTTGAACTCATGTGTTTTTGTTTTTTTGGCGGAACCAGGGATTGAACTCAGGCCCTTGCACTTGCCAGGGAAGCACTTATTCTAATGAGCCATCTCCTCAGCCCTTGAACTCATGTTGGAATAACAGGAATACACCACAATGCCTGGCAGAAAACTATCATCCCAAAACATTCCCGACTCCTTCCAACATCATTTCCTGACCCCTTCAGCCCAATACCCATGGTTCTGATTTCAGTCCTTTGGAAAGATATGGCCAGGCATGGTGGTACCCAGCTGTAATCCCAGCATTCTGGGAGGCTGAACCAGGAGGCTCTCCATGAGTTCAAATAAAGGCCCGTGTAAGTTACATAGTGAATTCAAGGGTAACTTGTACTATTGAGGGAGATCCTGTCTCAAAAAACAAAGGCATCGTGGTACATGGCTGTAATCCCAGAATTCAAGAGACTCAGGCAGGAGGACCACTGTGAGTTCAAGGCCAGGCTGGGTTACAAGTCAAGACTCTCAAAAATAAAGTAAAATGGAATAAAAGGAAATTTTAAAAATAAAACCTGCTGGGCACAGTGATACATGTCTGTAATCCAAGCACTCAGGAAGCTGAGACAGGAAGATTGGTGAGAGTTCAAGGGCAGCCTGGGCTATATAGTGAGTTCAAGGCTAGCCCAAATCAAGGGTTAAGAACTTGTCTTAAAAAAAAAAAAAAAAAAAAAAATCAGGCTGGGGATGGTGGCGCACACCTGTAATCCCAGCACTCGGGAGGCTGAAGCAGGAGGATCATTATGAGTTCGAGACCAGCGTGGGCTACAAAGTAAGCTCAAGGCCAGCCTGAACTGCAGTGTGACCTTGTCTCAAAAAGACGAATAAACAAACAAATCAGGGGGCCTGCCCCTTAGCTCAGTTCTTTAAGTGGCTGCTTCAACAAAGCAGTCAGGCTCAGGTTGCTGTGGTTCATCCCCACAACACAAGACAGCCAGTCATGCCTTGAAGGCATTCAGAGCAAAAAAAAAAAAAAAAAAACACAAACAAATCAGAAAGCCAATAAAAGATTTTCTAAATCACCCATACAGTCATATATTATCCAAATGTGAGCACTGTTGGTATTTTAGGAATTTTTTTCTTTTTGAGTTTATTTTTTTCCCCCAAAGGAACTCCAGCTCTGTCACCTCAATTCTATTTTGAATAACAGAATGGTGACTGCCATTTCAAAAGGTACTTTGTGAAATTCGTGACTTTGCTCTTTGATTGGCGGGAAGTAGTTCAGCGCCTGCACTGGTGTTTAGTGAACTGGTTCTCGTTTTGAGGGGCATGTAGATTATTTGTTCCTGCAGCAACTGCCTTGTCTTCTATTTGAGTCTTAAATTCAATCCCCAGGAGTGGACTAATTGGGTCTGAAGGCATAAACACTGCAGAGCTCCTGACCGATCTTGCGTAAGTCCTTTTATAGAAAGTTGTTCCCGTGAAGACGCTGCCATATTCCCCATGTTGTAACCATGTTTACCCGGATTCCCACACATCACACCCTCCCCACATTCCTGTCCCCAGGGCAGGAGCCCAGTGACAATCTTGCATCACTTGCGACCATACTTTTTTTTTTTTTTTGAGACAGGGTCCTGCTACTATGTAGTTCAGGCTGGTCTTGAACTTACCATGTAGTTCCACTGGCCTCCAACATGTGGCAATCCTCCTGCCTCACCCTCCAAAGTCCTGGCAGGTGACCACACCTCTTTTTTTTTTTTTTTTTAAATGTATTTGGTACAGGGTCTCACTACACAGCGTGGACTCATAGTGATCTTCCTGTTTCAGCCTCCCCAGCACTGGGATTACAGGCATACGCCACCATGCCTGGACTCGGTGGCTGGCTCAGTGTGCCTAGGGATGGGGCTGGCACAATCTGTGGTGCTGAGGCTCGAACCTTGGTCCCTGCACTTTCCAAAGTAGGTGCTTAGTCCACTGAGCTATCTCACCGGTCCTAGGTGACCATGT